AGTAAATCTTCATGACCGCAAATTTGATAATATATTCTTAGATATGACAAGAGCAACAAAAGAAAAAAACCGATACATTGGAACTTCATTAAATTCAAAACCTTTTCAAAGGATATTATCAAGAAAGTGAACAGCCCACAGAATGGGAGATAATATTTGCAAATCATGTATCTAATGAAGGTTTAATATCCATAATATATAAAGAACTAAAAACTCAACAACAAAAAGACAATCTAATTAAAAGATGGATAATCAACTTGAACAGATATTCCTCCACTGAAGATATACAAATAGCCAATATACACAGGAAAAGATGCTTAACAATATTGGTCATTAGGGAAATACAAATTAAAACTACAAAGAGATACCACTTCATACTTACAAGGATGAATTAAACAAAAAAAAAAAAAGAAGATAATTTAAAGAAAAAATCAGAACAAGTGTTGGTGAAGATGTGGAAATTATGCATACATCATTGGTGGGCAAAAACGTTGTAACTGCTGTGGCTGTAGTTTGGTGGCTCCTCAAAAAGCTAAACAAAGAATTACCACATGACTCAACAATTCCACTCCTAGACATACACCACAAAGAACAGAAAGCAGAGACTCAAACAAATAGCTGTATGCCAATATTCATTGTAGCACTAATCACAATTGCCAAAGGTGAAAATAACCCAAATGTCAATGAACAGATGAGTGCATAAACAAAATGTGGCATACACATGCAATGGAATAGTATTCAGCCATAAAAAAGGAATGAAGTTCTGGAAACAAGGATGAACTTGGATGAACCTTGAAAACATTATGGTTAAGGAAAATAATCAAGAAACAAAAGAACAAATATTATGGGATTCCACTTACAAGAAATGTCTAGAATAAGCAAATTCAGAAAGTAGAAGAAAGGAAATCAGAGGCTATAGGAAAGAAGAATGGAGAGGTACTGTTCAATGGGCACAGAGTTTTGGTTTGGGGTGATAAAAATGTTTTGGAAATACAGTAGTGGTGATGGTTGCACAATTTTGTTAATGTAATTAGTGCCCATGAACTGTATATTTTAAAAAGGTTAAAATGGGAAGTTCTGTTGGGCATATTTTACCACAATAAGAGAAAGTTAAAATGGCAAATTTTATGTTAATACATTTCACCACAGAAATATTTTTAATCAGCTCCCAAGTTTCACTAGCCATATTTTAAGTGCTCAGTAGCCACATGTGGCTGTGGCTACCAACCACCACAGTGCATAGCACAAATAGAGAACATTTGCAACACCACAGAAAATTCTATTAGATAGCACTTATCTAGAAGCTAAAACCACAAGTATCTCTAAATACAAGATAGTTAATAAATGAGAAAAATAGGGAGAAGAAGGCACTCAAATAAAGAGCATGCTCTAGAGGTTGCCGCAGCATTCAGTTGCATTTAAAAATCACAAATAAGCAGTAGCTGCATGCTTTTCTGGGCAAAGAAAGACTGTGCGGAGCCAGTACATTCTCCAAAGGTTTTAAGAAGAGTTCTAAAAGAAAGAAGAAGAAGAAGAAGAAGAAAGAAGAAGAAGGAGGAGGAGAAGGAGGAGAAGGAGGAGAAGGAGAAGGAGAAGGAGAAGAAGAAGAAGAAGAAGAAGAAGAAGAAGAAGAAGAAGAAGAAGAGTTCTAGAAATAAGAGGAATAGGCAACAAATAAAATAATGCTAAGAAACTGTGACCTCAGTCATAAATAACAGTTCTGGATCTATCGTCTCTGGGTCTTGGTTTCCTCTCATCTATAAAAAACAGGGAGTTCAATTAGAGGTTTTCTAATATCCTTCTCAACCTCTTAGGTAAGTAAGTCTCAATTCTAAACTTTCTGATCTCCTTGGCATGGAAAGGAAAGAGAAGAAAGAGAGGAAAGAAAGAGAGGAAAGAAAGAAGAAAGAAAGAAAGAAAGAAAGAAAGAAAGAAAGAAAGAAAGAAAGAAAGAAAGAAAGAAAGAAAGAAAAGATAAGATTGCCTAATGAAATGTTTTTTTTTAGGATCAGCCTAAAAAGTTAAAAGTAAGACTCAACTGAGTTAAACTCTAGTTGTGCTTAACACCTATTATACACTAGAATCAACTGGGTACTTAAAAAATATGCCAAAGCCTGTGCTTTCACCCTACATAAAGTGTGGGGTGGAGTCTCTGGGGTGGTGCCCCAGAGTATTTTGCTCCCCTAAGTATTTTGATGAAAAATGAGAGTTAAGAACCACTATGGTAGACTATAAGCAATTGCACACTTCAGGCAAGAAAAAAATAATAGACAACACTTTCCTCTTTCCTTGTCAGGCCACTAAAGCTACATCTACACAGATGGCAACTGACAAGATGGGGGTTATGTATATTAAAAATACAAATCTTCTGAATTTGATTTTTATGATCCAGGAGAATATCTGTCTCAAAAAAGAGCCAAGTAGAAAAGAAATGGTGCTTTACTAAAGTAAGAATTTTGTGGGTTTTTTTTTTATAAAGATTTTATTTATTCATGAGAGACACAGAGAAAGAGGCAGAGAGAGAGGCAGAGGGAGAAGTAGGCTCCAGGCAGGGAGCCTGATGTGGGACCTGATCCCAGGACTCTAGGATCACGACCTGAGCCAAAGGAAGATGCTCAACCTCTGAGCCACCCAGATGCCCCTAAATAAGAATTTTGAAATGAATTTTCATGTATTAAAAAAAAAAAAGCCCATTGTAAAAAGTCTAAATGCTAGGTTTTCTACCTAAAGTTCACAAAAGGAAAAAAAGGAAGACTTCTTACAGGTTTAAAGTTAGCTTTATTTTATTTTATTATTTTATTTTATTTTATTTTATTATTTCTCAAGAGAGTATGTGCATGTGCAAGAGTAAGGGAGGGCAGAGGGAGAGGAAGAAGGAGAGGGGGGAGAGAGGGAGAGGAAAAGAGAGAGGGAGGAAGGGAGGGAGGGAGAGGGAGAGAGAGGGAGAAGGGGAGGGAGAGGGAGAGGAAGAGGGAGAAGGGGAAGGAGAGGGAGAAGGGGAGGGAGAGGGAGAGAGAGAGAGAGAGAAAGAAAGAGAATCTTAAGCAGGTTCCATGCCCAGCAGAGAGCCCAATGTAGGGCTCAATATCACAACCCTGAGATCATGACCTGAGCCGAAATCAAGACTCAGATGCTTCACCGACTAAGCCACCCAGGTGTTCCTGAAAGTTAGCAATCTAAGAGTCAAACCATCAGGGAGTAGACAGCCATCTGTGAGATAAAACCATAATGATTCACAGGTAGACAAAAGAGTGGGAAGGTAAAGGGAATAACTGTTTCCCAAAAGTCACTAATGAAGATCATGTCTAACATTTCCTGGCAGGCTCTAAGTACTTTCCAGATACTATCTCACTGAATTCTCACAGTCACTTTGTGAGATATTTACCATTAGCATTTTATGTTTAAGGAAACCAGGAGATAGAAGTTAGAAAACGTACTCAAAGTCACACAGCTGGGAGTAAAAGAGGTAGGACCTATAAACCCAGGTAGTCTGATTCCAGAGTATTTGCTCTCCACGAGTATACCCTGCTGTCTGTCTGTCTCTCTCTCTCCACCACTCTGGTTATCTCTGTAGGCATGAGTGTCTGCTGCTGACCGAAGACAGATAAAGATAGGAGACGAAAGGAAGAGGGTAATAGAGAAATGCATCACAGTAGTGTGCTTGGGAAGACAGGCTAGAGGATGAGACTCTGAGACATGTAACTGAGGAAAAGGGGAAATAACACATTTTCCCTCATTTTCTTAGCCTCAACTGTAATGTATATACCACATTTCTAAGACGCAGACATAAGGTGAATGAAACAAAGGACAAAGGAAAAACACTAGTTTTTTAAGAATCTGGGAATGAAGAGCAGTAAATATAGGGAGACAGAACTCTGTACCAATGCAGAAATTTTCAGAGGGAAAGAAACAGCTTTGCCTCAGGGGCAGAAGTTTTTCAGTTCAGTAGGAAAGTACTTTTTCTCTAGCAGAAGATAGTTAGAACATGTGGATAGACAACATGAACATCACAGTCACCATGGAAGTATACCCCAAACTGTTAGCAGTAAACTAATTATAAACTCAATGAGAGTTTGCCTAGGTGAAGGGCTGAAACAGCTTTTAGGGCTCTAAGCATGATAGAACACGTTCACAGGATAACTGCAGCATCTCTAAAGCTCAACCAAACCCACTATAGGCTAGTCAGATGAATTTTACAAAAATCTTCAAACCTAATTCTAGACACATAAGTCAACATTCTTTCCCACCTGAATGTTTTCCCCAAGTGCAAGTAATGGGACTTCCAACAAAAACCACATTTTGCTGATATTATTTCTAAACCATGAAATGGGCATGCAGCGGATAGGAAAGGACCTAAAATAAAAGGGCTGTGATAAGTCGTAAACTAGATAACAAATCTGGAAGTAAATTAAGGTTTGGCTACATTCTAGGATAAAAACAAAATTGTGCTGGAAAAAAAAAAAAGGCACACATCAGGATGACCTTATCACTTCTTGTTTTTATTACTTGTTAAACAACAAATATAAAGACAGTCAGCAGGTACATCATTATAGGGACCAAATATAATCTTTTAAACATGCAAACCAAACATGTAAGCTAAAGATACCCCTGGTTTATAAATGGGTACCTTGTGCTCATTAAGCGTTGTACAAGCAGACTAAACCAGTCATTGAGATCTGGAGCTTCTCAGGAATATGCTCAGGTTGCAGAACTGCTGTGGGAAGATTAATATAATAAGGGACTCAGTGCAAAAGGATGACATGTGAAAGATGTAAAGAGTTCTCTAGCTTATGAAGAATTTTTCCAATTCACATAAGGAAATTGAAGCCTCTCTCTCGACAAGGCAAGATACTCAGCCAGAGGGTAGATCTCGTAACACATATCTGAACCATATAAGCAAGTAATTGAGAGCCTTTCCTAGAGACAGATAAAAGTAATATACTTCCATGGACACTGGAATACAGATAAGAAACAAGAATCCAAAACTTTTTAAAGGATACGGTCTGTACCAGGAAACAACGTTCTTCCAGTCAACAGTTCGGCCATTATGCATCCCACTGACCAAATATCAACTGGTAAAATTAAACAGAAAAGGCATACAATGTCACTACTAACATACTTGACCTGAAAGAAGCTATAACTAACTAGAGGTGAAAAATTATAATATATAATATATTTGAGGTGCAACAATTATACTCTTCTTTATAGAAGTAAGCTTATTAATAAGACCTGTACCCCACTAAAGGGCTCCATAGGTGGGATGTCAAAACATAGCTAAGGCAAGAGAAACAAGCTGTTTATAAAGGGGCAGAGATCCTTATTGGTAGAAATGGTAGATTCTCCCAAGTATTGTTGAGAGGTTGAAATTATGAACCCATTGTCTTCAGATAGAAGTACTCACAGAATATGTTGGAAATCTAAATAAATAAAAATCCAACTGCTAAATCACAAAGTTTGAAAGCTGGGTATAAAAACACTACCTTCTCTATCTGAGCAAGTGAAATATTTCCTGTCAATTTTAAAAGGATCACTGAGGGGGGAAAAAAAGATGTTTCCTCACATTCCCACCATCTCCACTTCTAAGAATCCCAAATACACCCAATATGGTGACTAATAAGGTGCTCAAAACCAATAAAAGCAATACCTGTCTGGTTGTAATGCATCCAGTTCAGCATGATCTCAGGAGCCCTGTACCACCTGGTGGCCACATAGCCTGTCATTTCATCATCTGTATGTCGGGCCAGTCCAAAGTCCAAGATCTAAGGAGAGAAGAAAAATCAGGCACTGGAATAGTCAAGCTCCTAAGACTTATAAAGCAGGAGGGGAAAAAACTCAGTGCCTTAGAAAAAGGCAAAACAATATAGCACTTTCATAAACATACTTTCTAGTCCATGCTAAGAACGCATGATAAACACAGCAGGAACTTTAAGAGTGAAATTACAAAAAGCACAACAAAAAATGCTATTCCTAGGCATTTACCCAAGAGCAATGGAAACATACATCCACACCAAGGCTTGCATGTGAATATTCATAGCAGCTATACATAGCCCCAAACCAGAATGGAAGCAAATGTCTATCAACATGTAGCTGGATAAACAAATTGTGGCATATTCGTAAAATGAATACTACTCAGCAATAAAAAGAAATGAACTACTGATATAACACAGAGCTTAAAATATTATATTAAGCAAAAGTTAGACACACACATACAGAAATACTGTATGATTCCATTAATACGAAATTCCAGAAAAAATAAATCTATTCTATAGAGTCAGTAAGCAGATCAATGGTTGTCTGAAGCGAGGATTAGGGGTAGAGGGGTGGGGACTGGCTAGGAAGGACCACAAGCCAACTTTCTGAAGTGATAAAGTGTTCTTTATTTTTACTGTGTTTGTGCTTAAATGGATATAAAAATTTTGTCAAGAGTATACTTGAAATGAAACATTTTACTGTATTTAATTAAGTTTAAAAGACTGAGTAAAAAAATAAATAAATAAAATAAAAAAAAAAGACTGAGTAAAAAGGAGAAAAAGAATACTAGAACTGCTTACTCTCTATAAACTACTTATCTCCTATTTGAATTATTTTCTCTAAGGAAACTAATTTAGTAATTATCTCTTCAGGATTGCTTATTTGATATTCAGACTATAATTTTCCTTTATTATAACTAATAAATTAAATATCTATTTTAACTTTATTTAAAAATGGAAACAAGACACCTGATGCCACCTTCAATATCCTTTAAACTAAAACTTACATAAGTCTGTGGTTCAAGTTTCAAAATCTGATATTCCTAAGAACATGAATTTTCAGATAAAAAGTCATGGTTTTACAAATCCATCTGTTCATTAGTCTGCCTGGTTAGTCAAACATATAATTACACGTTGAAACAAACAATTACCAGTGTCTCTTCATCTCACCTTCAGCTCACAGTCTTCATTCACAGCTAGATTGCTAGGTTTTAGGTCCTAGGAAGTAAGTACAGAGGGGACATGATCAATTTCATGATGCATGGTACGTTGTCTCCCCACAGGTAATGATGAAGATCCAAATATAAAGGTAAGATTTTATCCAGTTATCAGTGATCTCCATCTATAGTCACTATCTATCCTAATTAGCTTTAAATAACTAAAAACTATGTATCTTCTTTCTTTAATCAGTTTAAACTTAGAGCAAAGTTACAATCAATCAATAGTTCAACAGCTAAAGTAAGTGTAGATTAGGATCTTGGCTGAATTCCAGTCCTCTCCACTTTAGTATCCCTCCTCCTCCCCAAATAATTTAATCAAAATCACAATACATTACCCTGTGAATTATGTCAGCTGAATGTATATACTGTGAAAGAGAAAAAAGTCAATTAAATGAAAAAGTCATCTCCAACCTCTATGATCATATGACATAGTTGAAGTATATTTTTATGAACGAGTAAGAACTGTTAGTATTATATAGTGGGATTAAAAGTGAGAACAAGTAATTAACAGTAATCTGTACATTTATCATAACTATGATTTCTATACCATCAACTCTACTCATAGAGTTGAGCTATGAGTTACAGAGCTTTCAACTTGTTTTCTGATTGGTTTTGCGGAGTTCAATAAGGACTCAAAGCTGCTAAACGTCAAAGGTGTTTTAATTTTAAAACATTACTTATCTGCCCCTCCCACAAATAAATTAGGCTCCTTGAGGAGGTTTTTAAAGTTTCAACATGACACTAACCAGATATTAGATTATATCAAGAAATTATTACTACTCTTCAGATGTAAGAATGAAGAATCTTGAGCTCTTAGAAATACATACTGAAATATCTATGAGTGGAACAACATTACATCTAGACTTGCTTTAAAATAATCCAGGGCTTGGGGAACACAAAGGAAAGATTGGTCCTATGTTGGAAATTGTGGTCACTGTGTAAACGTAGGGGTTCATTACACTATGATTGTATTTGTGATTCTGTGAGTGTTCGAAATTTTCCATAAGAAAGGTTTTTTCTTTTTTTTCCTCTTCCTTTTCTTAAGCTTTGGAAAGAGGAAGAATATACCTTGAGACCTCGGAGAATTTGGTAGATAAGGAACTGAACATGGTCATCCGTAAGCTTCTGACATTTCACAATGTTGTTCAGATCTGCTCCCATAAGATGGGTCACCAGATACCTAGAAATTAATGGGAGAGTTACACGATAATCCAGGGTCCCTCTGAAAGCTCTTATCTTCATAAGGCTTCTAAAAGTTTTGTTTTTTTTTTTTTTTAAGATTTTATTTATTTACTCATGTGAGACAGAGAGAGAGAGAAATGCAGACACAGGCAGAGGGAGAAGCAGACTCCATGCAGGGAGCCCGATGTGGGGACTCGATCTCGGGTCTCCAGGATCACGCCCTGGGCTGAAGGCAGGCGCTAAACCGCTGAGCCACCCAGGCTGCCCTAAAAGATTTAAGAAAAGGCCATCCCTAAAAGGCAACCTACTAAATAGAAGATATTTGCAAACAACATATCTGATAAAGAGTTAGTATCCAAAATATATAAAGAACTGATACAACTCAATACCCAAAAAACAAATAATCCAATTAAGAAATGGGCAGAAGAGGGGATCCCTGGATGGCTCAGCAGTTTAGTGCCTGCCTTCAGCCCAGGGCATGGTCCTGGAGTCCCGGGATCAAGTCCCACATCAGGCTCCCTGCATAGAGCCTGCTTCTTCCTCTACCTGTGTCTCTATCTCTGTGTGTGTGTGTCTCTCATGAATAAATAAATAAAATCTTTTAAAAAAAAAAAGAAATGGGCAGAAGAGATGAACAGACATTTCTCCAAAGAAGACACAAAGATGGCCAACAGACACATGAAAAGATGCTTAATATCACTCATCATTAGGGAAATGCAAATCAAAACTACAATGAGGTATCACCTCACACCAGTCAGAATGGCTAAAATGAAAACAACCAGTGTAGGTGAGGATGTGGAGAAAAACAAACCCTCTTGCACTAATGGTGGGAATGCAAAATGGTGCAGCCACTGTGGAAAATGGTATGGAGGTTCCTCAAAAAATTGAAAATAGAACTACTCTACAACCCAGTAATCACACTATTGGGTATTTACCCCAAAATAAAAAAACACTAATTCAAAGGGATACATGTAGTACCCCTATGTTTTTTGTAGCCCTAGTTACAATAGCCAAACTGTGGAAGCAGCCTAAGTGTCCACTGATAAATAAATGGATGAAGATAAAGTATATATGTATATACAATGATATATTACTCAGCCATAAAAAGAATGCAATCTTGCCATTTGCAACAACATGGATGAAGCTAGAGAGTATAATGCTAAGCGAAATAAAGGCAAATATCATATGATCGCACTCATATGTACGACTTAAAAAAGAAAAAATTGAACAAAGGGGGAAAAAACAGAAAGAGAGAGACAAACCAAGAAACAGATTCTTAACTATGGAGAACAAGCCAAACTATACAAACCAGGTAGGAGGTCGGTGGAGTGATGGGTGAAATAGGTGATGGGGATTAAAGAGTACAGTTATCATGAAACACAAAAGAAAAAAAGAAAAGGCCACCCAGTAAGTACCACAGTGATAACTAAACACCTAATAACTACTCATGGGAGGCTCATTTGCAACACCCCTATTGTAATTTTACCACCTCCCATCTATTTTTCGAAAAATTTCTATACTCGTTCCTACTTGATGTATCTTTTCCTAAATTTTCTAAAGAAAAAAAAGTAAAGGGATCCCTGGGTGGCGCAGTGGTTTGGCGCCTGCCTTTGGCCCAGGGCGCGATCCTGGAGACCCGGGATCGAATCCCACATCGGGCTCCCGGTGCATGGAGCCTGCTTCTCCCTCTGCCTATGTCTCTGCCTCTCTCTCTCTCTCTCTCTGACTATCATAAATAAATAAAAAAAAATTAAAAAAAATACATCTAAAAAAAAAAAGAAAGAAAAAAAGTAAAGATGAAGATTAGAATGATGTATGTGTTCATATCAGTTCTTTAAAAAAATTCTGTTGCGTGAGAAATACACAGTGCAACTAAATGCACTGCCAAAATAAAGTATCTTGGATTTTCCAATCTATCATTATATTTTCACCTTATTACAAACCAAGTTGTAGAATCTAAAATAGGAGTGTCTTTAAATTTTCAAATTATAATCTCCTTTGTCAGGTTTCACTGGTAAAAGGATATTGTTCACTGACAATATTCCTGCATTTAGTATAAAGGAAGGAGGAACATAAGTAAGTAAGATGGGGCATTCCAGAACCTCTCCTCACAGGTGTGGTGAGATTAGGAATGATTATATTCAAGTCCAACAGGTTCACCATAGATATTCTAGATGCAATGCCTTACCCACTTCATTACTGTATTACACACAGTTATGGGAACATAAAAACCAGATCAGTACTAAAAAGGCTAAATTAAAAAAAGCAGGTTAGGTTTTATATATTGTATAAGAATCACTATTCATTCCTGATGCTGAATAATAATGTATACCAGTTGAGCTATAAAGAATGCTGATTTTATTTCATTTCTATTTTTATTTTTTATAAATTTGGAGGGAAAGAAACCAGGCCAGTAAATTTAAATCTACTATTAATGTATTGTATAAATAAATATGTGTATGACCTCTCTTCACACACTCTTACACACATACACATACACACTATTATTACTTTCTTTCCTTAAGGAGGAATTGGATTTTTTTGTTTCATAATTTCCCTGTTGGGATGATATCATCAATTCCCAATTTCACAAAGATCAACAGAACTTGGCCTACATGTAAAATTAAGATTTTTAGCATTTCATGTTTTTAAAGCCTGCACAATTATACTGCCTTAAGGAAAGGACAGACTCTAAACCTAACTTAAAGAATAAATTGGATTTTTTGAAATGTTTCATAAAGAGAATTCTCTTTTAAGAGATGTTCCAAGCTCAATATAACATAACCAAATGCAGTCAGTGCTTATTTTGCGCCAAGCACTCTGTTATGCCTGTGTCTCATGTACTCTTCCTGACAATTCTGTAACGTAAGTCCCATTAGTTTTCCCATTTCATTGATGAGGAAACAGAGGCAGAACAAGGATATGTAACCAGCTCAAGGTTAAAAGAGTGGTAAAGTCAGGGGTTGAATCAGAAAACTGTTTGCTCTCAGGACCATGCATGATCTTAATCACGGCACATATTGCCTCCAATTCTTCTAGTTGACTTCAAATTTAAGTCAAGAGAATGATCTTTTTAAAAAAGTTTCATAAGCGTCACAATAACCAGGGAAGCAGCATCTCCAGATAATTTCCATAATAATTCTCAATACTTACTATCAAAGTTAATCTTTAATGAAAGAAGAAAGTTGGCAAGAGCCTAACAATATTCCATCTTAATCACAGTCACTGAATTTTTTAATACCAACTGACACATATTCTAACAAATATGAGAATGTTGTCAATATTTTGAAATCAGGATTTCTCCCAGAAGATCTAGTGTAATGGTTGCTATATCCATAATATCAATTATCACAAACTGCAAGGCTCAGGTTGAGGAAGAGTGAATCCAATTTCTATTTTGTCAGTTTGTTTTGCAAATAATTACATTTTATGACTTTAAAAAATAATTTTAAAGAGAAAAAGTAGAGAAAGAAAACATTATTCTAGATGATTCCACATAGAATCTATCTTAATTTGTCATGAAATAAAACCAAAAAATCATAACTAATATGTCTGTGCTAGTTCACAAAGATGTTAAGCGGTATTACCAATGCAACCTTAGTAATTTCCAGTATAGCTATTGTGTTTAAATGGTTACCAGTGACTTAAGAAATCCTACACAAACAGAAGGCCACTGACTGCCCAATCTGAGAGAGAAAGAGCTTATGCTTTGAATTAGGATCTTCCACTACTGTCCCCATCAGAGACCACATCCATTTTATCACTAAAATTTCCAGACAGAAGGTGAAACTCAAAACATTATGTAAATATATAAGATTAATTAGCCTAAGTAGTAATAACTAACAAGCATTGATGCCAGACTACAATTAGGTAACTGAAAAGCATTATTTGTGGCAGAAGTGTCTTGCAGAAACTAACCTCATCACTGTGTATTGTTTCCATGAACCTCAAAGACCAATCTACAACAACCAATTGTCAAATTCCAATTCATGGTATAAAGGAAGGTTTCCAAAAATAAGTCTTCCAACAGTGGACAAAAGCAAGCATCATGCAAAGTTACTGAATGTTTATGGAAATGGTATAAACTTTTAAATAAACAAGAGAGTGAAAGGAAAATGTAGATGAGCACATTTTAAATAAGTCAATTCCAAAAGGAGCATTCATGGATAACTACATAATTTCTACAGCATTTGTCCTTGCACATTTAATTACATTTTAGTAAAGATACAACTACTATTGTCAGTGTTCCTAACACCTCAAATAAATTAATGGAGGTTTGGCTTGGGAACAGCTGGAATGCTATCTAGTTCCCCAATCTTTTTTTTCCTCCTTGTTTATTTTTAAGCTAGAAAGAAAAATCAAATGTTGAACAATTATGATGGACTTTTTGAATACCACAGATTTGGGACCCAAGCCTAGTCATGATTCTAAAATATCTAGTTTCTTCAACTCTAGTTGGACAAAGAAATATATTGAAAGTTTTCTTCCAGAAAAGGAACATTGGATAATATAAAAAAATAAAAAAAAAACATTTATTTGGGGGTAAGAGAGAGATTTTTCTCAAATAACAAGATGAGTTATAGCTACCCTATTTCAATAATTTATAATTTAGCCAGTCACAAAGAATGAGGACTATAATAACCATTTCTCTCTTTAAGTGAGAAGCTGGGACACAAGTGGTATGGAGTAGAAAAAATATGATAAATCTTAAAAATTCAAATGACGAGTTCCTTTTGGCTAGAGAGTGAGAAAGGAGATACTACACAAACTCCAATTGTGCAGTCTGTAAAGACAGTGATAAAGTGACTACTTCACAGATGAAGATAGACAATGTGCTCTTGGACCAATACAAGGGAACCTCCTGCATGTAAGAGGGAAAGGAAAGAACATATTTTTAGCATAATATGTAGTTGCATTTACACCTAAAGAAAGGCTCTCAAAATGAATATTTGAGCAGTTCACCATGGTAACTTTAACGAGTCTACATTTCAGCTTTGT